TGCATTTCAATATGTTCCATTTCCTGCATTTCAATGTGTTCCAATTCCTGCATTTCAATGTGTTCCAATTCCTGCATTTCAATGTGCTGCAATTCCTGCATTTCGATATTTTCTCCTAGTTTGACGGAGAGAAAGAGAACTGAACTGAAAATTTACATCACGGAAACCACGACAGTATACGCGATAAAGAATAGAACAATTTTTTCAGAACAACATTACTGAACAACTGAACAGGAAACACGTCAAATCTTTGGCCCAACTTTAATGCTATTGTTCCACAGTGAAGAATGTTATTGTTTACAATTTTTACACAGAGGAATGTTTACACATTTTTTAACCGCCTGCAATATGTGGGGCTTATACTTCGTATAAGCCCACGCAAAATAGTGCAGATGAACACAAATATATTTCACAAACGTAGTTATCTTGTTTATCATTACCTTGTGCATTATCTTCGATTCCCTGCTGGCCTTGTTGTTGGTCTCCTCCTTGTTCTTCTAAAAAACAAATTAAGGGAAACAATACATGTGTAGTCAACTCTCTCAAAGCGGACATTAGTGTAAAGTGTACACCTCAGAAAGGTGGACCTGGTCGGTCCCGGCTGAAATTAACTTGTTTCTCTGTAACTGCGCTCTTTTTCAAAAGGCACTGGAAAACCTGACAGCAGACCCCTTTTAAGCAAAATACTGGTTAAAATATCTCTCAAGGTGGACAGTACTAGAAATTGAAATGTGTGCACAATTATTTGATTATATCTTCCATTTTCTGCATTTCAATATGTTCCATTTCCTGCATTTCAATGTGTTCCAATTCCTGCATTTCAATGTGTTCCAATTCCTGCATTTCAATGTGCTGCAATTCCTGCATTTCGATATTTTCTCCTAGTTTGACGGAGAGAAAGAGAACTGAACTGAAAATTTACATCACGGAAACCACGACAGTATACGCGATAAAGAATAGAACAATTTTTTCAGAACAACATTACTGAACAACTGAACAGGAAACACGTCAAATCTTTGGCCCAACTATAATGCTATTGTTCCACAGTGAAGAATGTTATTGTTTACAATTTTTACACAGAGGAATGTTTACACATTTTTTAACCGCCTGCAATATGTGGGGCTTATACTTCGTATAAGCCCACGCAAAATAGTGCAGATGAACACAAATATATTTCACAAACGTAGTTATCTTGTTCATCATTACCTTGTGCATTATCTTCGATTCCCTGCTGGCCTTGTTGTTGGTCTCCTCCTTGTTCTTCTAAAAAACAAATTAAGGGAAACAATACATGTGTAGTCAACTCTCTCAAAGCGGACATTAGTGTAAAGTGGACACCTCAGAAAGGTGGACCTGGTCGGTCCCGGCTGAAGTTAACTTGTTTCTCTGTAACTGCGCTTTCATTTGAATGGTCACCCACTAGGGTTTCATCCACAGACTTAAAAGTTAGAACCACCTTGTACAGCATAATAAACAGTACCACATGAAAGTACTGCTCAATAGCTTTCATTTGAATGGTCACACACTAGGGTTTCATCAACAGACTTAAAAGTTAGAACCACCTTGTACAGCATAATAAACAGTACCACATGAAAGTACTGCTCAATAGCTTTCATTTGAATGGTCACACACTAGGGTTTCATCAACAGACTTAAAAGTTAGAACCACCTTGTACAGCATAATAAACAGTACCACATGAAAGTACTGCTCAATAGCTTTCATTTGAATGGTTACACACTAGGGTTTCATCCACAGACTTAAAAAGTAAAACCACATTTATTGGCTCAAGGTTTGACAATGGGAGTAAAAGAGTTAAGCAAAATACTGGTTAAATGCCTCTCAAGGTGGACAGTACTAGAAATTCAAATGTATGCACAATTGTTTGATTACAGGCCTCATTTTGGAACAGAGCCAAAGCAACTCGGAGATGATATATTAAAACAACAAAAACAACTGAAGCTCTTCAAATGGCGCTGACTGTAAGACTTTCAAAATCAACAACACACAGGGCACTTCATGTAAGCCTTTTGTATAATTAATTATGCAAAAAATAATGATCAATAGTGGAAATGTGACACACTACCTTGTTGATCGCGACAGCCATTGAAAATGGAGCGAATATTGCTCCACAGCTTTCCCAGTTTGGCTTTCAATACTGCTCGCACCTGTGTGAGAAATCAATAAACGCCATTGTTAAAAGTCTCATTGGGAAATAATCTGCTCTTTTTCATACACACAATAACAAAGCAACAATAACCAGAGAGTAAGAGCGCGAGCCATGTTTTCACAACAGTCAACTATACAACCGCACATGCAGTATATAGCATATGAAACGTCGCAAAAGGCAATAAACTAAAGATATAATTTGTAGTAATAATTATCGTAAATCTATAAAACATGATTATTTGGTACCAAAAAGAGAGACTCTATTTGGTATTGATGAAAACGAGAATGCAATGCTACCCCACCTGTATATATCACCTATATATAAGATTTGAATGCTTAACTTATTTCACGTTTTATCTGTTTTCCTTTTGTCATTTTCTGTGACATGGCACATTTTTTATAAATATGTTGTGACTAAGAGAGATACGTTAGAAATAGGTTATATGACCTGCTACAAACAGGAATTATCGAACAATTTAGACGCACAAGAAATAAATGAGTGCAGTACCTGTGGTGTTGCCAATGTATACAGTAAGGGGTTGATTGCTGAATTAATAGGCAAGGCGAAGACAGCGATCCAAACTGCCAGGTCACCAGGTGGGTCGAAATATTGTTCCACGTGAGACCTGATGCCGATTATGATAATCGGCATCCAACAGATGCAGTCAGTGAGGACAATGAAGAAAACTCTCTTAGCAAGAGCAGTCTCCTTTTTCGTGTTCGCGTCCCTGGCTCTGGCCCGAACTTCTCTGATGGTGCCATGTTGGGCGAGGCGCCGACTCGACAGGCATGTCTTAAACAATATGACGAGATAGATAGCCATTATAGAGATAAAGAATGCGAAATTGATGGCAATGAAGATAGCAGTGGAGTATTCCCAGCCTTGGTCCAGGTATGTGGAAAGCTGCAAGGGCAGGCACACGACATTCTTACCATAATACCGCTTCCCGAAATACTTGATGCCGCACAGGGGAAGGATTGCAATTACAGCTCCCACCAACCAGATGATGCCGCACAGTATGTGCGCCTGATGTCGTTTCAGTTTCCCACAGGTGTAAGGAAAAACTATATTTACAAACCTATCGGTTGCGATCAACGACAACAACATCACCGACACCTCACTTGAAAAGACCGATAGAGCGCCATTGAGGTGACAAAACCAACCGGTTCTCCACTCAAAATCATGTAAATAATATTTACCTGACCACTGTGCGTCTTTTATACCTATAGCGATCAGGTAAATACCCATGAGACCATCAGAAACACCCAGATTTACCAACATGATTGTCTGCACCACGTTCTTTTCTGGGAAAAAATATCGCCACACAACAACAAAGATAGCCCCTGCAAGTGAGAGTATTCCAACGGCCCAAAGGCTCCTCCTAGGAGCCGGGTTACGAAACATAGAATGACAGCTTGCAAAGTTATCATTGTACGAGAAATCGCAGTCAGCGTCCTCCTTGACCTGATGGCAGCACATCAGATTAGTGTCTAAAGACCTGAAATCCAGAAAATGAAGATGTTATTTCAGAAAAAAATACATCAGGAATACCAAGCAAATAAATTATCAGATATATGATCCAAACAACGTTTTCCTTTGCCATCAACTGGACGTCACTAAAGTGGTCGTCAGTGATTTCCAGGCAATCCCCCAAAGCTTGGAACGACAATGGCGTGACAGCCATGTTGGTGGAATAATCAGAAATTAAGTTTCGTTAATGTCAATTGCGATTAACATGGCATGCAATCAAAGTCCGATTATTGAATATAAAGTATCTAGGAGATGCCTATGCAGTGACACATTGCTGAAGAGCTTGCTGAAGGTGCAATAAAAATAGGTAAATAGCAAATGGATGATATTTGACAATTGTTATTCCACGAGCGTGCGTTGAATATGAGATGAAAACATAATCATCTCATATCCACCTAACGTGAATAAAATAATTGTTTTATTAAATACTTCACTTTGGTATGACTTCATTTTTTTTTTTAATTATAAATCGGGCCATTTACTCGCTACCAATTACCAGTAACCGGTTAGATCCAGTTACCAGCATTTTAGACCCGCCGCACGAGTTCTTATGTACTTCTACTCGCGGTCCATTAAATTTGTGTTAACATTGTGATTTGTGAACCATGCATTAATTAAACAAGAACTTTACGTGCTATACCGATATATATACCGATCCCAATAATACAAAATGTAATATGACTTACAAAATATTTTTAAAAATATAGTTGCCAAGATTTAAACTAACGATTTCAACCCAAAATAAATTTGATTCGGAAATATGGCTAGGTTTTCCTAGGCACCGTTGGCACGCGAAATATATATATATTTTTAAAAATAACGGTGATCAGAATAATTCAAATGAAAACGAATCGTTTTTGTTGAAAGGAATTTTTTGAAGAGTGCCTCGTATTAGTTTTTCAAGTAATATATCAACGAGAGCAAGTGTTTCATTCTCCAAACACCGAGAAACAGGCCGCAGGCCGAGTGCTTTTATTGTTTCGAGGTGTTTAAACCCCGAATGAAACACGAAACACGAGTTTTTGATATGGCTTCTCAAACAAAAGCTTTAAAAAAGCACTTATTAGTAGTAGTTAACCATTTCCTTTTCCAGTTCTTAATTTACAGTTACCAAACGTAAGCTCTGAATAGTAGTAATGAAATATTGTTTTGCGCATGCAAATTAACAGTTTCTATATCGTTGGGGAAACATGAAGCCAGATTTAAATGAGTGAAAATGTGTTATTTTGCGTTTAGAGATGATGATGATATATATATATATATATATATAATCTATTTTGATGGCCTAAGTCATTCAAGTATCTTGTAGCTCAATGGTAGAGCTTCCGACTACTGTGCGAAAGGTTACAGGTTCGACTCCTCTTGGTAAAACTTTGAATTTTTTTTTATATATGAAAAATGATTTAATGATAATAATTTATAGTTTTTAAAAGTCTAAGTCATATAGATGCCGCAATAATAATGTTGATAGTACATTACATTGGATAATTATCAAGATCACTAAAAATGCAAGGGTTTTATCTCAGATCAAAACCAGATCAAAACCCTGAAAATTTGGATGTGGTGTTTCACTGGGTATCAAGATTAATCCACCTGACCTAAATGGGCGTCATTTATTGGCTGTTGAACTCAGAATAATGAGTTCGAGAAGTGTAGTAAATATTTTAGCGCACTGATTTTTATGGCTTTTTATTGAAGCAATTATACATGCTAAATTCCTGGTAAATTGTAACACAAGAAAAGTTTGCTTTTTAAATTAATAATAGCGTCAGTTTTATAATAAATTTCCATGTTCGACCACATACAGTCGAACCCCGATTAAGCGGCCACCCTCGGAGAAATGGCAAGTGGCTGCTAAATAGGGTTGGCCGCTTAATCGGGGTTTTATTTACAGTATTATACTGATATTGGGACTTTGATAGCTGGCCGCTTAATCGGGGGTGGCCGCTTAAAAGGTGACCGCTTAATCGGGGTTCGACTGTATATATCATTAACAGCTGCTCTTGATGAATGAGTATACGATGTATTGCAGAGCTTTCACTTTTATTCTGTGACCAGATGTGTATGTACGCATCATACGGGTTTCCATATGGTTGCTGCCTTGTAATGATTAGCAATTACCATTAAGTTTGCTCATGTAATGCCGTCATCACAACTTTTTAATGTTTGCAAGTGACGTCATCGCCGCCATGTTGGTGGTCATAAACAAAATATTTATAATTAGCTTCTGTTGTTTGTACCACCAATATGGCCGTCGCGTCTTTCTCATTTGAATCTCTCGGGATTGGTTGCAAACCAGCAATTGTTGCTTATTTCAAAAGTATCGAAGAAGCTTACACTCTCATCAGGTAATTCAACTTGTCGAAAAAACCTTCGGGTAGTTCATTCATCAGGTTGTAGTGCATGAATCTGCAATTTGAATGAAAATAATTAGCTTTTATTATGGCAAGTGAAGTTATTGACCTACCAAATAGCTCAGCTTCTTGCTTTGCTTTACTGTTTTTGTAAACTTGAAAGGTCTCTACCAGTTATCTTAACAAATTGTACATAATATTATTATCAATATCTAGTATACTATATTTGTGCAAGCCCCGGCAGATATCTCGACTGCAAGTACCTCCTTGTTTTACAATAATTATAATTATTATAGTAATAATTACTGTACTATCTGTCCAATATAATTTATCTTAATATTTACATAAGGTTCATATACAACTTGATAATTAAACTCTAACAAATTGTTTAAAATGGCCGAGCTAAAAACATTTTTAAAATAGCATGTTCAGTGCTGACATCTGCCAAATGAAGCTTCATATCCGTACTTTTCCACAGTTGGACGGCCTTGTAAGTGAAAGTTCTCTGTCCTGACATAGCAACCGGCAATGGGATTTGATAAGATTTGGGTATGTTTGCGGGTAGAACGATTGTGTAACTCCACACTTATATATAGTGTAACTCTGTAGCATGCTAAGAGTGAACGATTATGCACCCAGCTGATTGCTATCTATAATAACATGTTGTTTACAAATTTACTGTGATGTTTAAGAAACCTTTAAGCGCTAGAACATCCGCTGGTGAACATCTGTTTACTGACACCAAAATGTATTTGATAAATATGCATATATCTATAAATATATCTATAAATATGCATATGGGAACTCGATCTGAGAAAAATTATAAAGATGAAGCAATTGAATAAAGTGATCTACCCGCAAGTATTGAATGTTTCAACTGCAGTTAATCAGCTGCCGTATACGTAAAACGTCTGGCACTCGGTGATACTCACAAAAATCGCAATTCTGGGGCGTGGTTGATGGTCTTCAAGGAAACACTGCGTATCTCATTAGCAAAGATATTGCTACAGAAAATAAAGATAACAGCGTGAAGGTGTGTTAATCAAATTGTTCAATTGGTAAAAAAAGGTATAATGTTATTGTGTATTTTGTCCTCTTCTTCATATCATTAACATCATAAGAATATTAACTGTATAAAAAGACATTGTCCATTGTAGCAACCAGTAAAAGGAAAGCCTGGTTCACACGTACGACGCAAGCATAAGCGCAAGCAACATACGCAGGCGCAGTAACGTGTTGATCATTAGTGTCTTTTGTTTACGACAAATCAACACGTTACTGCGTCTGCGTATGTTGCTTGCGCTTATGCTTGCGTAGTACGTGTGAACCAGGCTGAAGGGACACCCGAGTGTTTATAGATGGATATTGATCTCCCTGGACCAAGTATTACACTTTGCATCCTTACACTACAAATATTTTCAGTGAATTATTAACCAGGAGGATTAGAGCGATAAATGATTGGTACATAAAGTTAAAAAATAACTCTTAAATGAGGAACTGGGTACCAGTTAGTCAAGACATTTCCATGCACTTGCCGTCTATGTCAACACATAGTTAATAGAGGGAAATGGTTATGAAGCCCGGAAAAATTCTTTGTTATTTGTTTTTGTTCGCTATTTTGGGGGTTGACCGTGCACAAAACCTGACAAAATACAATAGGTGGTTACGTGTGTTCAAGCAACTAACCAATAGAAACGTTGCGATTACGTAATTCATGCATAGTGTATGAGCGCAAAACAAAAGATGTGCACGGTAATGGACCTTCCAACATAAATCTTGGCCTCTTTGTTTGCTCCTTTGAAGTTTGCCGGGCTTCATAACCATTTCCCTCTATTAACTATGGTCAACATCAAAGTTCACGATTCATTTTTTACCAAAAAATATAAGCTAGTAAATATTATTAATATCGTCTTACAGTGCATGACAAGCAAATATATGGTAGTACACTTCATTCATTATTTTCAGTTTGATACATCTAAAAATAGACGATACTAGAAATGACACAGGAAACGACGTGTTTACTCACACAGACTTGAGTTCCTTTACACCTTTAAAAATGCTTTCAGGCAGCTCCTGAATTTTGTTCTCAGACAGATACCTAATAATGATTAAAAAATAGAAAGTGTGAAAGGAATAGAAACACAAAATGATTGCCAATGAGATCACTGGTTGAAACAAACTATAATTACTCCACGAAATGTGACAAGAACTGTCGTCAAGCTGTCAAAGAAGTAACCGGTCCCTCTTTCATTCACTCATTTTTTGTTGCGTTAATATTCTTGCTGCGGGAAGCTTTCATCTTTGTAGCTGGGAATCATTTGCCGATTAAACAGAAGTTAAACTGGTTCATCGTTACGAAGGTCGGTTTTATTAACGTAAAACTGGAACCTGGATGTTTACAACTTCCGGCTGAAAGGGGAAGGCGTACTTTGGAATTTTGAGGGAAGAAATGAAGAATACACCATAAGGGCGAGTCAGAACAGTTAATCTTCATCATCTCTTTCAATGATACGGCTTCTTCGCCATTTTTATGTCTGTAATGAAGGACGGTAATTATCGAATACTACTTGAGGGTTTGAGCTCGACAACAGTAAACGTAAGACAGAAAACAAACGCTGTGTTAGAAAGAGGACGACGTGATGTTTTCAACGGAGAAACAACAATGGATTCATGACTGGTAGCTGTTGTCTTACTTCTTCCACCAATGGTACCATACATTTACAATCGATGGCACAAGGATACGGCTAACAAGGAGTGGCTTTACTGGTTTGAAACTTTTGTTTTTGTACGTTTGGTTTGCTATCTAATCGTATTATAGTATTTGGGTTCACCTATAATTCTATATAATTGAACTAACTAGTGGAACGAAAGATAAGTCTCATAACTTGGCATCAATCAATTCCCCAGAGCGCCTCGCGTAGAACTCATAACTGGCTTAACTTACAAATCAAACAAAGCCACCATTCCTTGAAACTGATCAGGATGAAGCCTCGTGATCTTGTTAAAGTCAAGTTTCCTGCGGCATTAGGCAAAGAATATATATATATATTCATAACTGTTTACATGTACTTCATTGTAGTCATGAGACTTAACTGCACGGAATACCCAATAGTACAATTTCTTTCCTACTGCTACTGATTATTTTAAGGCACGGTGGCTTAATCGAGCAGTCCGGGTCCAAGCACTGGTTGGGGTCATTGTGTTGTGTTCTTGGGTACTACCTGATGATTTTAAGTTCACTGTAAATCTCACTTACAGCATTTTTATGGCTGTCGCGTTGGCGAAGATTTCTCGAGGCAAACTTTCAAGTCGATTATTTGACAAATCACTGCAACAATTAATTACAATAATATTATTAAAGAGTAGGCTCATAACTAGAGACACTAAAAGGGTTTATTTTTTATTTATAAGAAATTACTCCAACCTCGCTTTTATTTCTTACCATACCCAGATTCTAATTCAACCAATCAGAAGCTCTATCTACTGATTTCCTCGATATCAAGCCACTGACGTAATATGCCTCATATCAGGACAGTTTGGTGAAAAAGGAAAACTCTGCACGTTATTGTTGAATTTTCCAAAACAAAAAATGTTATGAAATTATACAGCAACATGAACGAACAAATGTACAAAATGACTAATGTAAAAACATGCGGCTGCTGAACTTCAATATATATGCGTCTCCTATTCGCAGTTGTCTCAACAAATCGTTCTCAAAATATTTAAAAACGATGAAATTAGACAGTCTTTTTGCCATATTTATCGTTAAAGAAAGGAGAACATTAAAGACAAGATGATGAAAATTCTAACCTTAAATAGTTTATTTTCAAGCTATAAGCAATCAAGATAACGAGTAGAAATACACATCGACATCCACATAGACGATCTAAATTAAATGCATGACATTTCGACTCGAGGAAAATCTTCTTTGTGAAAAAAAAAAAAAAAAACTTTGGGTACGGTAAACACCTAATAGTACTTGCCATGGTTAATATTTTGGTGAGACAGAGTCGAGCC